GACAGGACACAGTCGTGCAGTAGGAGATACAGGGCACTGTACGACCAGGGGTTTGTATGCAAAGCAGGGACTTGTAGGGACAAGAGGGGATTTTGTTAGGCACAGGTAATTCTAGCATTTTTCTTTGAGGCAGGGTTTGTCCATACTGCCTAGCTTGGTCTCAAACTACTGAGTTCAATCTTTCCTCCTGTCTCAATTTCCTAAGTGGCTGAGATTTCAGGCACACATCACTTCTCAGGCTAGGGAATTTCAACAGGATCAGGGGTTTGTAGGGACAAACAGGGCTTTGTAGGGAGGCATAAGATACTAGAAAGAGAGGCAAGGCTGTGAAGGAGTGGATCTTGTGAGAAGCAGGACTCGTGGAAAGCAGAACTTCCTAGAAAGCACAGGAGTTTGTAGCAGGTGAGAGCTTGCTGGACGGGACAAAGACTTCCTAGGGAGCAGGCAAGGTTTGTAGAATAAGCAGACCTTGTAAGGATGGGCCTAGGCCACACATGTGAGCAGGGCCTCCGAGGAGGACCCAGGCCACGCAGGAGGCACGGGACTTTGTAGGCTATGTGCAAGTCAGGTGGGGATTAGGAGAAAGATTTACAAGGAGGGTTGGAGCTATATGAAACAGCGAAGCTTTGAAGAAAGGACAGCTGATTCCTAAGGGGAGAAGGGACCTGTGAGTAGACGTAGTATAACCTTGCAGTGGATGGTCTTACACAATGCAACCTAAAAGAAACCCTACAGTTGAGGCCAGCTTGCAGCCTGGGCACCTGTTGGAACCCTCAGTCAGGGGTAGCCTTCTCACAGACCGGACTGCATATATGATTGAATGCACATGCACTTACTTCCTGGCTTTTCTCTCATCTCTTCTCTAAGTTGTAACACAACTGCAGGAAACACAAAGAAAAACATTTCTCTTCCCAGTGCTGGCCCCCACATCATGAATAAGCTCACTTCCAATTACCATTGTCTCCTGGTTTTCTCCTGAAGAGGCAGCAAGCAGTGGACTTCAGACCCCAGTAAGAGAAGCCAGGAGCAGGGCTTCTCAGGAGGGGCAGTGTTTGTGAGGAGCAGGGCTCGGCATGGTGTGGAGGAGCTACTTCCAGCGGAGGGGAGGGGTAGGGCAAAGACTGGGGTTGGCGGATGGAGGCAGTGGGGACTACACTTCTCCAGGAGCAGGGTTCCCAGGAATAGGGCTTCCTGGGTGGAACAGGGCTTCCTAAGGAGGAACAGAGTTCAGGGAGAAAAGCTTTGTAGGAGGGCTATGCTGTTTTTGTGAGGGAACAGGGCACCGGAAAGAAGTGACTAGAAGGGCACGGGCTTGTAGGAGCAGCAGTGCTACACAGCGGTGCAGGCTGCCTCAGAGCTATCTAGCCTCTTCAAGAAGGGACTGGCTTTGTGGAAGCAGGATGATGCAGACGCAGGGCCTTGCCATTTCCACAGAGGCTTTGAGGGAAGGCTGGGGCTTGTTAAGGAAGACAGGGGATTTACAGGGTGAGAGGTAAGGAGTGGCGGGTTCTGTTGTTTGGAACAGGACTCCAAGCTTGTGGCTTTGGGAGGAGCAAGGCCAGCAGGCTTTGAGGGTGAACTGGAACTGTGAGAGGGATCCTGTACTGGTCAGGGCTTGGAGGAGGTCTTGTTAAGAGGTCCAGGGTACTATCTGAGGACAGCTTTATAGGGTGAGGATCCAGGAGTGGGGAACTTAGGGGAGTAGGGCCGTGCAGGAAGCACAGGTTTATAAGAGGATGTTGAGGTTTGAAGAAAGGACTTTGAGAGGAACCCCGCCCGCCCGCGTTGCCTGTAAGAGCAGAGCCCTGTAGAAAGAGTGGGTCCTCCCAATGAGGGTAGTTTGAAAGAACAGGATAGTTCCTTTTGTTGTGTTACAGCCTATTTAGCCTTGTTGGGCATGATTGCCCATATTGTCTCTAGGACAGCTATCCTGACACCAAGCTCCATGGCAGGAGTTAGATTGCTAAGGACTCTTTGTCTTGGCTTCTAGGAAATACCACCTGTAAATTCCCAGATATGTAAAAAGCTGAACTCCTCAGGTCCAGCCTGGGCACAAGACCCTCCATATCCTTCTAAATTAGAGAGAATAGCCAAGCCTGTGCTGACAAAAACACTTTGCAGTCCCAGGCAAACTGTGACCTCCTTTCTCAAATGCAAGTGCAGAAAGTGATTAGCAGGTTATGCTACATGTGTTTTCCTGCTTGGGGCATGGCTTAACCAGGCCCTCTAGTTGCTTCTGGTCAATGACATGCAAGGAGGGTGAAGTGTGTCATAGTCCCTGGACTCCCTGTGCAGGATTCTTCTTGCTCTTTCCTGTTCTGAGCATCCATGGTGAGAGTGGAGACAAGAGGCAGGTCGGATCCAGCTGCATCCCACCTTATTGAGGGCCTGGGCTGTCCTGCTACCGTCATGATTCACTGATCAGTGGGGCATGGGGAAGAGCCTTCCCACCTTCCTGACTTAGAGGCCTTCCTTAGCCCAACTAGAATCTCTGAAGCAAGTGCCATTTAGGGTGCAATGAGACCCAGCTAAAGGTTGACCAAAGACTCTGGAGCCAGACAGCATAGGTCTGAATCCTTGGGCTTGGTGAACTCCGACAAGTGAGCATAAGTCGCAGGTGCCTGAGTTTCTTTCCAGCTAACATAACTTAAGAGGGCTGCTATCAGAACTAAATGAGCTAATACACATTAGAGACTTAAGAGCGACTCTAGGCACACCCGGAATATCTTAATGTCTACTGTTATTTTTGTCATCCTTATCATAACTTTTTGTAAATCTTGCATTGTCACCAGACATAGAAAGGTTAAAATTAGGCATAATCCCCAAATACAAGTCAAGATTTGTGTCATCAGCCATTACAACATTTAGGCCATTAAGCATTGCTTTTAAGACCTTAAAAAAGCAAAAAAAAAAAAAAAAAAAAAAAAAAAAAAACCAAAAAACAAAAAAAAAAAAAAAAAAAAAAAAAAAAAAAAATCCCTCCCTCCCATCTTCCCACCCATCCATCCATCCAACCATCCATCCATCCATCCATCCATCCATCCATCCATCCATCCATCCAAGAAACTAGTCCAGGAATGCTCAAAGCCAAGTTCTCTAACTGGTGGAGGAAACAGTCCTTCAAATCTCTTGAGACTCTTTGATCTATAATTACTTTTTCTAAAGACTCCCTGGGTTTGGAAAATTTGGTATGTGTGTATAGACACCTGAAGCATTAGTTAAGGGGCACACACATCTTTAGAACAGCTCCGTAATACTCTTATTTATAATCTTAAATATTCAATGAGTATCAATAAAATATGCTATGGAAACTACTTAAAGGAACATTTTCAACAGAGGTAGCAGTCTATACCAAGTAACACTAAACAGGCAAACAATAAATATGCAATCAAAAATTTAATAACAAAGATACTATTTTCAACATGGTCAAATATACATGGCTAAGACCAGAATTAAAAAAAAATGTATCCAGCTCACCAGTACAGTCATACAGTTTTGTACAGAACATTCCATAGATCAACAGAAAATACATGAGCACAAAAATAAAAAATATTTAAAGAGAATCTCTAAGCAGCATTTTCTTTCTGCAAAACAGACATAGACCTTGTACTGATTAAATATCTACAAGTGCTTTTCCTTTACAAAAATACATAGATTCTTAATAGACTAAGTCATTAACAATGACCTGGTAATTCTTTCACTTCAATTTGAATGATTCATAAGCTAAATCTTACAACCACAAAAAGGTTTTTATTTGTATTAAGATGTTATCACTCTTGACAAAAAGCTTAAAATATTTCGTATTTCAAAATAAAATTAGCAACATAACTCTACAATATATTCTGTGCTAGATTTACTGTGAGGGCTATTCTAAGAAATGATTGCTGTTGAGTTACCAGACACAGGAAAGTGAAGGAACACATACGCCCCACCCCACGCTCTTGTCCTGGACCACAGCTTCATAAGGACACTTAGGCCCCCACCCCATTCTGAAAAAGACTGCAAAAGAAAACCGGCCTTCAACAGTGCCAGGGTGACCTCCAAATAGACACATATGTAGAAAGAGCCGCTCCTGGTCCCATGTCAATACACCAGACTATGTAGAGATGCCCTCAGAATGGTTAGTCTTCATTTGTGCTACAGTTGGTTTTCTAGTAAGTACTACAAGACCGAAGAAAACTAGGCCTAGTATTTAACATATCTGTTACATTGATTCTAGATTCAAAGACAATTAAGATGAAAACATTTCTGGGAAGCCACCATTTTGAATCATGGAAAAGTGGATGAGGTTAGACACACCTGCACGAAAATTTAAAGCAGTTCTTTTGAAATGTTTAATTTTTTATCATTTTCTGAAAAAGTGCCCAAACATTTTAATTCTACTAGAAAACATGATGATGTAAACTTGCTTTTTGTGAAAATCATATTCTAGGAAGAGAAAGACTTTCAAATGACCCGAGAAACACCATGGCTTAACACAACGTAAGCCCTACTGTCTACTGGCATTGTATTGTATCTTAACCTGTTTTCAATCAGAACACACTGAGCAAAGTCCATCAAGTAAATCCAAACAAGTGGTGATCCTGTGCTCTGAGGGCTTCTGAGTCTTTAGTGACCCTGAAACTGTTCAACAACTCCTGAAGCAGCAGACCTAGCAGACATGCCATGTCCCTTATTGCTCTCCAGAGGATTTACATACTGAAAACAACTGTAACAGCATTTCAAGTTTTTATGATTCTAATCTAGAAAAGATTTGGCAAATTCATACTGATTTTTTTATTGATATAAAGGGTAGATTTCTAGAGAACTCCTTATCCAGAGGAGTGGATGTGGAGGGATACAGCTCAGTTGCAGTGCTTGCAGACCAGGGAACACAGGACTGTGGGGCTGTCTCATCCACTCTGCAGAAGGTCTAGCTCAGGGAGATTTTACCTCAGTGGTGGTCCAAAGCAGACCATCAACCCCAGAGAAAGAATGGCGTACTGGGACAATTTTCAGTGCTCCACTGTCAATATCTGGCCACAGGGCTAAGTTTAATAACAATAAAGTGGCTGCTGAGAAAGAGAGTCACTTTTAAATAAAAAACTATCACAGGCCCTTATGGAATTTTGCTTTTAAAAATAGCAGAAGCACTTCTGCTAATCCAGCAGAATGTTCTGTGCTCTACGGAGGCAGGCCTGTCAGCACTTCCACTAAAGCCTGTCTTCAACAAAGCTGCACACTTGACTAAGAACCCAGGAGCTAAACAGGCGTCCTCTCCTTCATACCACCTCTAGGGAATAAAAGGCTTCTTAAAAAAATTAAAATCTCAATTTTCTAAGTTCCTTTTTCTCCCACTTTTCACTGGGGAGGATATTTGTTTTCTTTCTCATATTTGAGGATTTTCTAAGGTCTACCAGATGTAGCTGGAAAAAAAACCATATTTGAAGGGAAATACACTGACTGTAGCAAAAGAGGCATTTGACTCATCCCACCAAGAACTCGAACTGCAGTGCCTTCATTGGCAATGTTTTGGTGAGCAATCAAGGTTACTACCTATTTACCGTCAGGTCACAATCTACTAGTTTCCATCTTCTGAACTGTCCAAACTGTCTCCAACATGGTTATTAACAATAAAATGTCTTTGGTGATACAAAACTTTTTGAAAAAGACTTTAGCTTTTAAGTACCCACTTAGATATGAAGCCATTTATGAGACAGGTACAGATAACTGGAGACTTATGCAGGTAACCTAAAACAGAAACGCACTTTAGCAATGAGGCACTTTCTTTTAAATAGTCAGTAAAGCTTAACAGTTTATAATATTATATAACACAATGGTTTTATTACGGACTCAGTTCAAATGAACATTTGTTCTCTTTCACTACGTTTGTACAATGTGGCACATTAGTACGGGGCAGATGCTTAGTGAATAAAGAATAAAGAATATTTAAAAGTTGTCAAAAACATTACTCGTTACCCAAACCTCAGACTTAATATAATCTCATCAACGAACCTTTTAGTTTAATTTTTAGGACCGACTGAAAAAAGGACATTTTCTTTCTCTATTAACTTATGTGATCACTGCAATTTGAAGTGATTCTTACAGACCACAGGCATTCTTTATATTCAAGATTCCTTGGCCCTTTTCTTTAGGGCTGATTTTTAAGGCAGATAAAACAGGTAATAAAATCTTTTCTGGAGTAGGGTTCTTTAGTTTATTGCTTAAGGGACAACAGATTGAAGACTAACGTTCATGTATTCTTGAGTGTATGGGTTCAGGGCTATTCTAGAGGGTTTTGTTAAGCAACCCTGTACATGTAAAGTTGGCCACACACAGTGCCTGCTCATGTTTCCTACAGCAGGTTCCTTACAAGGGCAACTAAGTGGGAATTTGGTGCATGTCACACCAGACAAGAAAGTGGTCTACACTTGGCTGATATACCAGAGGAGGCTAGCTGAAAAAGCCTGATTCCACTAGCAACACCACATTACTCATGTTCCCATGTGACACCAGCCATCCTTAATGGTATGTTTTGGAACACAGTCTTTTACATCTCAGTGAAAATGTCAATGCATAACATTAAATAAAGAAACTTTTATAAAGTTGCTTCCTTTCATAACTATTCCCTATGTGTCCCTGGAAAATAGTCATAACACGTGATCAGGCAACAAGCAAAATTTAAAGAGACCTTGTATATAAAATTCACCTATGGCCTTACATCTTGATGAGGAGCAAAATAGCCAAGTCTTAGTGTTTGGTTTTCAAAATTGATTTTGACTTAAGTTAATTAAAATTAACCTTCATATTTAAAATATACTTATCTAAATGTGACAAACTGTAGTATCTTTAAAATTTTCTTAGAGATAACTAGGAACTAGATTTTACAAAACATCAAAATAATTTCTGTAGTTAGATAATAGATTCAGGTTTTTGGTCAAGCATAATGGTCTAAACTTTAGAGTAAATCAACTATCTTTTAAATCCTGCTCGTGAGTTCTTCCAGAAACAGCCCATCTATAACAACCTGAAGTTAAAGCGTTGCTATGGCCTTCTAATGCAGCAAACTTTAATATACCTTTCGACTTGAAAAAAGATGTAAGGAAAAATCATAAACTTTCAGCCTTTTATATTATAAAATACTCCAAGATTGAGCTTCACTTCGTATATTTCTTAGAGCTGTACGATGTTTTATTTCTACGAAGCACTCTGATAATCAGAAAGCATCAGCTTGTGAAGTATTTTGCAGGGAAATGTAGAGCACCTGTGTTCACAGCCTAAAAACGATGTGTGGAACACACGGTGCTCTTATCAGATTTCTGAAAAAAGTCATTCTTCCTATTTTTTCCTACCTGTCAGAAGTTAACTTGTTTGTTTCAAAGCAACCAATAGACATGTTTCACAGTTTTCTTTTCAACTATGTATTTGACAAGATCTAAAATGTTTTTCATGTAATAAGATAACAGAGGACCCTGACTTGCAGGCTAATTTCGTATGTGTGGAAGACTTAACCAAACTGTCAATATCAAGGACATTGTCATAGTTCTGACTTCTACTACACTCACCTTCAATGAACTCACAGTGAAAACAACAATCCCACTTCATGTTTACTACAGTATCTAAAATAAAATATCCCCAAACCACCAATTTTGGTTAGAATATTTATCTATTACATAGCATTTATTTTGTGGGTATGGTTTGGAAATGTGATATGCAGCTAACAATCTGGATCAGTAACTTGAGATTTTGGAAATCCATAAATGAGCGAATATTATCTAAAATCCTAGTATTTAAAACCATTATACATAACCCTCTGCATGCCACAACACATGCCTAAGGCCAACTTAAAAGAATGCTTTCACAAAACGGCATCAACAATGCCATGATGCACACACAACACAGGCTAGACAACAAATGGAGTTTTGTAGAGCAACACCCACTTGCCCTAAGACAGTAACAAACATTAACATACTCACACATTAATTTTATTAGACATCAATATGATCAGCTGCCAACATTATGAACTTCAGTTGTCCAAGTCACATACGTTTTCAATGTGAAGGGCTAACACGCCTTCCTGTGCAATGGTAGAGACTACCCAGACATTCAGGATAGCTCCAATTGTAATGTGCTCTGGTCAAATGATAACTGGAATTCTTCACAAAAGGACTTGCACACTCAAGAATGAGCTGGCATTTTGGTTTTTTTTTTTTTTTTGGCCGTTTATTCTTTTTTACATAAAAGTTTACTAAGAATAGGACAGTGGCTCAGAAACCACTCTTCTAAATATATTTTTATACAAAATAATTTCAAGATATAATTATACTAGTTCTTGTACAGTACTCTATTTTAACAAGAATAAAAGTATTAAGTATGTGAAAACTGCAACACCACAAGGATTGAGCCATTTTACTAGTGTAATTAACATTAGAACAATCTTGCAACAGGCAAGCAAAACATTGAGAAAGCAGAGTCACGGCTGTACTCCTAGCTGATTTCAGCCGTGCTTTGCACACTGTGAGACGAGACGAATATCTTATGCAGATGGTCAGTAGCAGAAGGGCACTTGGATTGCTCCTAGTAGAAACAACATGAAGGAAACTGACAATGTTGAGACAGACAATGGCCTTATGTGCATGCTGAAAATCAGATCGTGTCTCTCAAGTCCACACACCGCTCACTGTGCAATCTGCCGACGAGTAAACAAATAGTGCAGGGTTCATTCAGTGCAGTCTGGGCTCCTTGGCCTACCCAAAGTCAATTCTTGGTCGATACTGCAATACCATAGGGTATGACTAAAAAAAAAGAAAAGTATGAGTAAGACTGTGTTTACATAAAAACAAGTTCATACAGAAAAGCTTTGGAGAATTGGGGATTATAATTTATATTCCCTGATAATAGTGATGACAAGTTAAAATTTAAGTTGTCAATTAAGATTCAAGTTACTATCAGTACCTCTCCTCCCTTCCTCCTTCCCCTCTCCTCCCTTCCTATAGAGTGCCTGCAGAAGACTACAAGCTGCATCCCACCAGCAACTCTGTGGGCTAAGCATTTGAGTCCTGGATTCTCCCAGAGCTGCTGCTGGTGAAAACCCACTGAACCACTCCAGAGTAAGAGACCCTGTTCTGCAAATGGGTGAAACTGGAATTTATACACTATTGTTCATACATTTGACACTCTTTCCTTCAGTTTTTTTTTTTAATTTTAAAATGGTCTTTAGAAGTATTGAAAACATGTTCCTATTACACGGATTGGTGACCACATCCTTTCAATATGATTTAGTGTTCACAGCTACAGCATGACCACACAATCCTAGGGAGGGAGAAGCCTCCTGTATATGGAGGCAGGGGCCACATTCCCTCTCTGTCTGCTTCACCTTCACTACCACAGACAAACAAATCATCAGAAAGCAGTTTGAAGAGTCACTGATTTTCCTGTTCTAAACTTTGCAGGCTTCCACTTTTGAAGGAAGATCCAATGAGCTACCTATCATGGAATCCAGAAGAGGCTGAGATGGCCACTGGCCAGTGTTGTGCTATCTCAGGGTAGGTGGGTGAAAAGCCTTCAGTGCAGAGAACCCTGTGTTCTTTACTATAGGAAAGAAGGCAGACTGAGAGTCTACAACCCCAAGATGTCCTCTCAGCACTTACACACATGCCGCACACAGAGAGACTGGATGCTGCTATGTACTAACTTGCAGTTAGGGTAGGAGAGTGGGAAAGATGCCACAGGCCTTGTTCTCAGCGGAGGAATCACACAGCTGCTGCTTCTGATCTCATGAGCTACCACAGGAGCCTCTGACTTGTGAGGTTCCAATGGTCTTAGCCTTATTCTGCTTTTTAATTTTGTTTACTTGGACTCATCTTAAGTTTTACTCTGGTTTTCCAGAACCAGCTTACAACTAGGTTAGTTAGCACAAAGTTCTCTATTTCTGAAGCCCAGTTAGATTTTTGAGGTCACTGACACAGCCACCTTATCTGACTTTACTATGCCCCATTCATTCTATTTCCCTCCAACCCCCAGCTTACCCTTTGTTACAGTCTTTGAACTTTCTATTCCAGACTGAAGAATCTGCACACTTCTGCTATTAACTCCCCATTTTAGAAGACATTCATTACACAGAGAAGCCCAGCAACAGTTCTACTGAAGGTGAGAAACAGACAGAGGAAAGGGCTTGGTTGCCAACGGCTGAGATTTTCTGTCTGGGACTGAGATTCTTTTTTTTTTCCTCTCCCCACTCCCCAAAAACTTGTGTTTGTTCTGTGGACACATGAAGTTCAATAATTTTACTGAGATTCCTCCCCCTCTTAATTTGGCAATTTAATAAACATAAAATATATTATTTTTACTTTATTACTTGACTTCTAAAGTTAATTACATGTATATTTTGTCAACTATATTTCCTTTCATAGCTTGTCCAATTATTGAAAGTTAAACTTTTTCATACAGATATATAGTAGTTGTTATATTTAATGGCATTAAACCATTTCCTTTCAGATACTGCAAAAAACTGAGATTTCTGCCTTGTACTTTTCAATACTAATAGTTACATCACGATTTGTCCCCTTTAATTTTCAAAGGTACGGTGTGAAAGATTGTCTCTGCTATAAAATCATTTTCCCAACTGTATTTTCTTCTTCACCTTTTCTATGATCATTCTGAACAGTTACTATTTTGACCCATCAGGAGTATGGACCTGTATATAATGAGGTTTTATGTTGAAGTGTCTTGCTGCAATTCATGAAGAGTCCTAGGAGATCTGCATCCAACCTCCAACACTGCGTCTTTGAAGATATCATTTCCAACCACCCCGTGTACTGTCGCTCCAGTGCCACTGGCTTCCTTCAGATCCTGAGTGGTAAGATTCCTGTTTCTCAGGGTCATTGTGTTGTTCCCTCGGCTTTGTGTTCTCTATTGTACATTCACGGGGTTATGTCTTCCTTATAATCCAAACCGACCACACCAAAAAACTTCTTCAGTTATTTTACTGTACAAAATATATCCTCTCTCTCTCTCTCTCTCTCTCTCTCTCTCTCTCTCTCTCTCTCTCTCTCTGTGTGTGTGTGTGTGTGTGTGTGTGTGTGTGTATGCTCATATAGTTGTATATATGCATCTCTCTGTGTGTGTATGTACATTTGTGGAGGCTAAAAGTAGTCATGGGTATGGTTCCTCTGAGACTGGCCACCTTATTGTTTGAGACAGGGACTCTCATTCCCCTGGAGTTAGCCAATTAGGTAAGGCTTGCTGGCTAGTGAGTCACAAGAATCTACCTGCCTTTGCCTCCAGAGTACTCTGTACACCTGCCCAGTTTTATATGGGTTTGGGATTGAATAAAGGTGCTCATGCCTGCAAAACAAGCAGGTTACCAACTAAGACACCTACCCAGCCCTCTAAAGTACATTAAGTAGATACTTAAAGTTTCCCCTGGACACTGAACTTTCCCTGTTTTTTGTTTTTTTGCTTCTATGTTCTATGAGAGAAAAGTTGTTTAATGTTTTCTTCTATAGCCCAGGGCTAGAATACCTCAGGCATACTTAAATAGCTCAAAAGCATTTGTTAAAGAGCCTTTCTTTCTGCCTCTGCCCTTGGAGCCACTGCGCTCGGGACCACTGCAATCGGGACCACTGAGCTCAGGCTCCTGGACCAGAACTTACTCTGGAGCAATTCTCTCCTCATGCATGTGGAGGTCAGCACCTGATGTGAGCTCTTAGCTTTATAATGCACTGTTGTACAAAGGTGCTAGTGATCATGTCCCATTTATTACTTACCTGAAAATGTGACTGACTGGAAACACCCATTTCCTGATTAACTTTAGTATAACTAACTTTGCTCGGTTAAATAAATCTTGTGAAAGTATGCAGAGTCACATTTAACTTCATAATTTAACTTCATGCAGAGTCTGACATCTATGATGCCATTTAAAGTCTTTGTGTGTGAAACAGAATTCTGAATAGGTCTGAGTAGGTCTTTGTTTTGAGGAAATATATATTAAAAAATTTTGTGATCACCTGTCCTTATATTTGACTTATTTTTTAACAGTTTTATTAAAAAATAACAAACTAAGATGCATATAAGGAGACAAAGAGGAGACAGAAAATGTGAAATATTAACTGGTCAATCTAGGTAAAGGATGTCTTTGAAATAGTTACTTCAGTTTTCAATTTTCAAACTTCAAACTAACCAGCTAGTAGAAAAAATGAGCACTAACACTGGATTTTATCAAATGTCTTTTCAGCACTTAGTGATTTTTATTTTGGAGTACTCATAAAAAATACTAGCTTGTTTTCTGTCTGTCTCTCTATAATATTAAGCTAATCTTGCATTTCTGATAAAAATTCTACCAGGTCTTGACTTTATCCTCTTAGGATATTTTAGTACATTATTTAGTATGCTATTTAATATCTCTGCATTTATATTCAAAGTGAGACTTGGTTCTAGTTTTTAAAAAGATTTTTTTTTTAAATTTTAAACTATGTATATGTATGGGTCTGCGCATGTGTGAGTACAGGTGCCCAAATTGTCCAAAGAGGGGGTCCATTCCATGGTGCCACCTGATGTGGTTGCTATGAATGGAACTCTGGTTCTCTGCAAGACCAACGTACACTCCTAATGCCTGTACCACCTCTCCAGCCCCTTGGTACTAATTTTCTAACTGAATTCTCTGTTAAGTTTGCTGGCATATTGATGCTCCCTTTAGGAAATAATTTTGGAAAAATTTAAATGTAAAATTTAATTTTCTTACAAGATTGTTAACCACAATGAAGTGCTGAATAAAGAAAAGGAAGTGAGTGCGTGGGTGCAGATTTGTCTTATTTCAATGTTCTTCAACAGTTAGCATCAGAGCTAAAGAGCAACTTCATCTCTCAGGACACAGCTATCAACACGAAGACAAAAAGTGGAAGCCTACGGTTATCACTATGATCTATCAGTCCTACCGTTTGGATTTTACACATTTCACTACATCAACTCAACAGTTCACTCAGCCCTCTCCCTCACAGCTTCCTTCCTGGGTGGTTTTCTCTCTGCCTGTCTAGATGGTATGTTAGGTTACTCCATTTCTAAAAAAAAAACTAGGACTTACGCCCACGCCAGGTGGTGGTGGCGCACGCCTCTAATCCCAGCACTCGGGAGACAGAGCCAAGCAAGATCTCTGTGAGTTCGAGGCCAGCCTGGACTACCAAGTGAGTTCCAGGAAAGGTGCAAAGCTACAGAGAGAAACCCTGTCTCGAAAAACAAACAAACAAACAAACAAACAAACAAACAAAAAGAAATTATAGATGTGCTGCTTATTAAAATTTTTGCTTAGGGATTTTTCAAGTATTTTTTTAAGATACAATGTAAACTAATTTGTCTCAACCTCAGAACTGCAACACTAAAGTTTACTAGTTACTGACTACCAGGAACTAGACTGATGACTTTCTTAATTACTGGGGAAAGGGCAATGGATTATTTTAAAGAAATACTACAACTCACCCATGAGATTAAGACTGGGCATGTTATCTCTGCACTTAGTAATATAGTATTTGTGCCTTACTGTAGTGCACAGACTCTTCTGTTTTTCATTTAAAATATTTATTTTTAAACATATGTATGTATGTGGGCATGTGCATTATTAGTGAGGGTGTCTATGGAGCCTAGAGGTCTCAGATGCCCTAGACCTGGAGTTATAGTTATGAGCCACCTGATGTGGGTTCTGGGAATCAAAATTGGTTCCCGTTTTTGAACCGCTGAGCCATCTCTCCAGTTCCTTTTCCAAATTTCTAAAATTTGTTTTTATTAGAAAAGTTTTTCTTAGACACAAATTTAAGGTCCTTGTGTGTTACTATGTGATCTCATACTCATTTCTGTGGTAGCCCGGAGCAGACGTTAGGGCTGGGCCCAGCAGCCAGATCACAATTAGAATTAGCCCTAGCTCTATTTAAAGTCACTCAATTTGACATTTCATCTCAGTACAGGACAGATTAGAGATTTCTCAAGGGGTGAAATAATTAAAAATTCTTGATTCATAAATAATAGCTGTTATACATACTTTCATTTTTTAGTTCAGTAAAATGGTTAACTCGGGAGAACTACAATAATGGGAAACTTGTTATTTAAGTTTGAAAAGACTTTAAAAATTGGTTTTACAAAGTGACACGTCTGAGAACTTGAGTTTGGGATGGGAGCGGTAAGCACAGGGCACTGTGATGGTCCTATGTACCGTCATGAGTGCCTCTTACCTGATACCAAGTGCCATCCTGAGAGCAGACTTGCGAGGCTGAGCAGTTCAGACAGCGAAACTGCGGAGGAGACGAACTCATCAGATAAGAGGCATCCACAACGGGACATATTTAAAACGTGTTATTTAAAGTAGTTTAACGTCAAACATAAGTGCCAACATGAGAAATTTAAATAAACACTGAGGAATGGTGTGGCTTTTTTTGAGGGGGAGGGGAAATATTTAATAACCTGGTGGTTGGTAAATTTTAGTGTTAATTTTATCATTTATCTATGAAGGTTTTTGTTTGTTTTTAATATTCTAAACTTAGCAATATGGTATCCTACCCTTTTTTTCTTTTTAATCTCATTTCCAAATGCTAGTTTCTGGGAAATCCTCATCTCCTAGTACAGAGGGTCCCACCACTTTCTCCTTTGAGTACAGAGTGGGGACCATCTTTCTCCCACCTGCTCCTGAGGTCAATCTCTCCTACACCTCCTCTTCAGCTACTCTGAGGGCAACACTATCGGAACTCTGGGGGACATGGAACTTCATTCAGTCTCCAGGGGCCGATCCACTGCCCTCTTCCTTTCATACTGCTCAGGTCAGTCTTGATCCCACGCCTGTTCTAATAGCACGGATGAGCTCCGAGTCAGTCGGACACTGTTCACGGTCTTAATCACTATACAACTTATACTTTTAAGTTATGCACATATTTAACACCGTATACTCTTCCAAATGAAAAATAGATATATAAATAGCTGAGAATTAAACACAGAAAAATACAAGTTAGAATTAATCAGGAAAAATTTAACTTCCCAAAGTAGACTTCTTAAGGCTCTACTTTGGAAAATGATAAATTTCACCCAATTTTCTCTGGAAGTTGGTCCTTTCTTATGCACAGAGCTCATCATCATGCTCTAAGGACAGCCTGCCACTTCGGTCCTTACTGACTCGGATAGGTCTGCAAGCTCTAACCTACCACAGTTTGTCTGACTGTGCAAGTTGCAAAAATCATTCAGTAAGATTACAGAGTTAGATTTCATTATTTTTTTTCCTATTAATCTCTTTGGTATCGGTTAAAACAGATGTGTGGTTTTTTTTTCCTCCTAAAACTGCCAGATTGCAAATGAAGCAATGAGAGACGGTCATGATTGCTGGCGTCGCTGAGGCTGCAGGAAGAGGTGGAAGCTGCAGGAGCATCTGGGAAAAGGCAGCTAGACTGAGGGAATGCAACCTACCCACAAGAGAGTGAGCAGGAAGAACACAGGTTTCTGATGGATGCCTAGGGGGAACAGACAGATGCTGACAGGAGTTCTCATGGAGTGGAGGAAGAGTGGATGAAGATCATAATGCAGTTTAACAGAGACACTGTTACTTTTCTACATTTATTAGATTAGGCATTCTGCTAAGTACTTTAGCATATAATATTAATTCTTGCTAAATTTTCCTACACAGATACTGTTACAATGATCCCCAAAACAGGAAAATCTGGGAAGCAGGACACAGCTAGGGGGAAAAAAAGCTACAACATATAGCAAGAGGTTAAGTGTTCAGAACACACAAGTTCCTAGAAGTCAACAAGAAGACATACTCATGATTAAAAAGGCAGTGAATATGAACACTTGCAAAGATGCTATATTGCTAATGAGTGTCAAGAAGTCGGAAAACAGGCCTCTTGTATATTACTGGTATGACTATAACTTGTGAAACTTTTTTGAGGACAATTGACAACCTCTCACAATGTAAAACTTAGCCCATTGTAAACTTAGCAACAGGCAATGGGCACATGCCTTGGACTTTATACAGCACTGCTTGTAATGTTAAAAAAAATGAAACAAAACACCAATGCCCACCAAAATAGTTAAATTATGCTAGTCACACAAACTGAATTGTACCAATATATTAAAAAAAAAACCCTTCAAAATGTAATGGCTTTCCATAAGACATATCAAATGAGAATAAAGTTGCTAGCAAAATGTATGATTCCATTTATGTCTCGGAAAACTGATGATCACTGGCACTGGTATTATGAAGAGAAATACTTGAGTGAGGTGACATCAGATGACTGAGTAACCCCTGACTGAAACACGAATCTCATCTCCATGCCTTCAACTTGTAGAAGCCACAGAAGAAACCTGGCCACAGATCACAGTTCCCAAACCTCACTCTAAAGATCAGGTGTTCTCACATGAGTAGAGCTTTCTAGAAATGAGTCTCAGGCCAGCCCCAAGCCTACTGAGTAGAACTGTACTTCGTCATCATGCCCAGAGCACTTGTATTGCACTAAGATTTAAGAAGCACTACTGTTAAAGTGTATTTATCCTGCTAGTCATCAACAGATCAACATTCAGCACAATAATCATCAAGCAAAAATACTGTTATAGAATTGATAGCAGCTATTTGACCAAGTGTTTGTTTTAATTTGTAAGGATAAAGCTATTTAAAAATAATTTATCATGATGGAGACAAGGTCTAAGAAGGGGTAGAGGCCACCTATGGTCATCTTTTCTGAAAGGGACTCAGCTCGAAGGGGACCTAAGCTGGGAAGAAGGAAAGCACTACCACAGAAGCTGGATGGTGCCGAGGGATGCTTGTAATGGTTACTGCACAACTGGAAGGGAAACTCACTTCCCTGAGACTGGTTCTGGGAGGACAAACAGGGGGAGGGAGGGTGGACATGAATATGCAGTACCCTTTCCTGAGGCTAAGGACTCAGGTGGAGACTCAGGACTCCAGTGTGATAGGAGTGGGAGCTACACACGGAGTCACAGGCTGAGTAAAATTACAAGCGGACATTCCGTAACACTGATAAGAAAGAAAAACTGCAAAGATGCCAGAGACGGCTAAAGTAACCCAGAAATATAGTCCAGTGCCAATCAGAGACCCATTCAAAAGCTCATCTCAGAGAACAGGTAAAACAATGTAACGTGATTTTAAAAATTGAATTGTTGTCTCAATAGGTACAAATACACACACACACACACACACACACACACACACACACACACACACACACACACAGCAATCTAGCAAGCACAACTATTGACCTATATAAGACATGTTATGACTTCAAAGAAAATGAGCAATTGAAAGGTTTTAGACAAGAGTTTTATAAAAGCTGCATTAAGCACAGTGCTGGTTCAGAATAATATCTGTTTAAAAAAGAATGTCCAGAACATACACAGACATGTGTGTACACACATGCATGTACAGCATCTTCAAACAATGAGGAGCAGTTTGGAGTGTTCAATAAACTGTATTTCTGGTTAAAAAAATCTTCAGAATAAACTAGATTCTTAACCTTGCTGTGTGTAAATGAATCAATTTTAAGTGCACTAGAATGTTGTAACAAAGCACTAGAAGCAAGCAAGAGAACCTAACAGTAGCTATCAGCACAGGAACAAGCTGATCCTGCCACCCAGGGCCATGCTAGTTAGCAATGCCAGCAGCAGTACTGAACTGGCAGGCATCCCAGCCTCCTGCCTGTATGGATGGGATGACCAATCTCAAAACTACAGACACTAGCAAAACCAGGGTTAAAGAACAAGCCATCTCTCCAGGACCAATTTTAAAAACTTCGATAAAAGTGTATCTCAACTAAAAACCTGAAACCTCAGAAATGTGTGACCAGAAATATAATTACATAAAGACTGATTTAGTTGGCGATCTATTAGTAAAAAGCTTACGAGTTAACCCTTTCATGCTTTGACATTAAAATAACTGGCAATGCTGAGCTTGATGGCCCATGTTTCTAATGAGGCAGAGGCAGGAGGATATTAGTCTGAGGCCAGTCTTTGCTCCAGTGTGCTCTGGGCCAGCTTGGGCTAAATAGTAAAATCTTCCTTCAAAAAATACTCCCCCACCCAGACACATACAAATGGACACCATGGACAACTTTCAGGAGAGTACTTGTGACAGACAGGTGAGCCCTAGGAGAGGTAACCTTTGAACTGTAGGCCAGTCTATTCAGTGATGAGTTCCAGCACTCACATGCTGAAAGGCCCACTGAACTAGCAAAGACAGACAAAGTGACATTTCCTGCAGCACTATTACTGTGAAATTAGAGTACCTGCTTCTAACTGTGCAGACTTACCCTCTGCGGTGTGCACCTGGCATCTCAAACACTTCAGGCTTAAGGAGCACATGAAAGCAATGTACATGCAACCCTTAAAGCCCATAAACAAGGCAGGTTTTATTTATGCAATACAATTGTATTAAAAAGATGAACCCTAAAGCAGGCTGATGAGTTCTTCAAGTACACACAACTAGCAAGTCACTGACACTAGAATGTAAGTTTTCTTTCCTGGTCCTGAGATATTTTTGTCAGTGACTAGAACACTGAACCTCGAAGAGATTTTTATCCATGTGAAACCAGATAGGAAAACAACAAAAATAGAGATTTAAGAATGTAGGTGCTTCAATATCATTGTATTATCACATTTTCTTCTGAAAAAGTAGACAAATATCTTAACCACTATATAGTACAAGGATTTTTTTTGAGGTTTTCTAACAGTTCAATAGATGTTACTTTAATGTGATGTCAGTATACCTCTGAACTACTGAAACACAGCAACCATCATTATTTGTAAATATTACACTGTGTGATGTAATAACTAAACTTTGTGCTGTATTTCATAATTAACATTTTCATAAGAAAATGTAATAAAACCTGGTAGAAACATTGTAATATTTAATGCATAACACACTGCACTATAAACATCACACTCTTAATTTTCCATGGGTAAGTTTGGGTGTTAATTACTGCACTTTCTAATCAATCTTAGGCATAGTTATATATTCACATCATGAGGGAAATCTCTGGTAACATTACAATAGTGTTCCTTATTCCCAGCCGGGCTTGTAATACAGTATGCAGAGGGCCTCACATTTCCCTAACATTCCTGGCTCAGGTGGACTCAAAGGGTTAACCTAAGCAAAAATACTTAAAACACACAAAAAAAAAATTTTGGGGGGAGGAAGAGCTGATCTTAGGTTTTCTCCTGTGAACAATTTCTTCCTCATTATTAGGGCCCAAGGCACAATAATCTATTCCCAGATAATCAGAAACCTCCACTAATTCACTCATACTCCTAAGTCATTTTTAGTGCTTATCTAATCCTACCCATGTGTTCTCTCTATCACAACCCCAACAATTCCCCTTTCTGACTGTTAGTGCTATCAGGGCAGAATAGAGTCTATTGATCTCAACTCACAAACTCACATTTCTAGTAGACACGAGGATTTAAAAAGCACATGCCACCTCTGCTCTCAGGCCAGCAGAATCCTGGATGTATTTATTGCTGGACTTAAAAACTCACCTTCAAAATATTTAACATAGACATTGATCTTGTACTTCGACCAATTTTTAGGTGCTAGAGAATAAAGAGGAACCAGTTTCTTCTTTCCCCAATTAATTTCCTAAAGCTCCTAACCCATACTGTTAACTTTAAATTATGTAAGAATATATAACTAAATATACACATAGGTAAATATAAAGAATTTACATTTTCTCCTCTTAGTCGCCATCTTGTCATATAGATGAATTCCATGGTATGATCCTTCCCCATAATTTCACCATTGCACAGCACATCCAACTTGAAAAAGAATAATTAAAATATATCAGTCCAATGGAAATTTCAATTTATACATTTTCATATTTTAAAAGACCCAACTAGATATACCAACATAAAAGTTATCAGTTTTAAAAGAACAGTGAATACTTTTATTAAAACCTCTTCCTTACAGAATGTTAATAGTTCAGCTGTAATTAGATTAAACATTTATCTTGTGCTATACAACCGTATCTCAAGCTGATACCGTTTATAAATGCAATGCCAACCATCTTGATTCATGTTTCTGCAGTCCTATAGGTTTTATTCTGTAAACCTGGGACAACTCTTACTGAATGAGAAGAGTGTAGCAAGAGTGCAGAAGTGTAGCAAGCTCATTCTAAATCCACCACTCAGGATCCTCTGAAGTTCCCAGGATGGGGCATTCCAACTGTGGCACAGAGCTGTGTTCAGGGCTATCTAGCCTCTCTGCTGTATTTGTGATTCTCCTCACCTTGCAAGAAATGTCAAAACAAACTGTACTTACAAAGCCTCCCCCTCTTGTTTGAGGCTACAGGAAACCAACTCTAAAGCTCTGAAAGGCCACAAGACTTGGTGTATGGTTCACTAATTCAACAAACAATATATAATGAATGTTTACCAAAGATCCCTATAAATGAAATGTCTCAGTCCTCTAGTTTCTAGTGAAAGAAACTGCTTAAGATTTATTTCAAGTGTGGACGGGGAGAATGAGTTTTACAAAGATCTGAATCTACCTACACAAAGGCTGCAATTTTGAACTTTGAAGCCTAACACAAAATAGTCCCAATTATATTAGATATATGAACTAAATTATTGATATTTGAATGATTTACGGTGATATATAAGCCTTGAAAATTTTCAGTTATTTTATTAACTCTTACAAGAACAAAGTAGACACCTCTCTTTATCTTGTCTGTAAAACAAATTCCTAAGCCAAGTTGTAAAGTTGCAATTACTAATCAGGCAGGCTGTACCCACAGTCATTAGCAACTGAACCCCCTGTCCCAGTTAGCATTGTTGTTACGGAAATTTTAGACATTTCATTAAATCACAGGCCTAGATGCCGGGCAGCAAAATGGGAGACCAATCTGTATTTCAAAGAAAGCAAAGGACAAGTTCTTTGATTGGGATAAGATAAAGAATTGTTAAAAAAGAAAAATCATAGTACATGGCAGAAGACAGAGAAGAGTTTTCTTAGCTCCAGGACTTTCTGAAGAAAATTAACTCAGCAACAGAGTTCTAAAGAAATAAAACTATACATGATACTTTTCATGAATAAAACAAAACAGAGAAATAATGCAGTAAAATAATTTCATTGTATACTTTTCACTATAGATGATATCTGTAAGTTGTTAATCTTTTATGTTTACCATGATCTATTTTTATGTACACTGGTGTTTTGCTTGCATGTATGTTTGTGGGAGGGTGTCAATTCACTTGGAGCTGGATTACAGATAATTGTGAGCTACCATGTGGATGACGGGAATTGAACCTGGGTCCTCTGGAAGAGCAGTCAGTATTCTTAACTGGAGAGTAATCTCTCCAGCCCCATATCTGTAATTTTTTAAAACCACAGAACCAAACTAATAAAAAAAATTTAACCCAGACTAGTCATCAGCCACATGAGACATTTTTATTAGGTTCAAGGTCAGATGCTTTCTTAGATAGACTCCTTCCTGTCAAGGTCTGTGCTTAAATCCCATCACACTTCAGTTCTTTCCTTTAATAAGAGACTTACAGTCTCATGCAAAGTCACACATCTTTGCCTGTACTTTGGCCCCTGCTCCAGCTCACCACCAGGATAGGGAGCCTGCCCATACTTCAGGTCCATTTCCCATTTGCCATTTGAGGTTTGTATTTTGTCCTCCAAGTCTCAAGGGATATCACAGAAAAGGAGAGAAAAACTTTCAGAGTCAGAGGACAGCAAGATAGGCAGCAAAAAGAACTCTTCTGGACATGACATAGTCTCTGCACTAATGGACTTCCTGCAGCTACAGTTATCCACGTAAGACCTGCACAAGGCTGGGTAGAGCATCATTTCATCACAGATGGGAGGAGTCCATGAGGCCCCATCCCACGCTGGTAACTACTGGCAATTAATGGTTACTTGGGGAAGGGGTCATTTCCTTTGGTGGTGTAGCCAGTCTAAGTTGTCCCTGTTCTAGTAAATAACCTTTTACTCAGGCTCAGGCAAGAAACTCTTAGTACACTCCACGGACCACAAACAAAAAGGCACGGAAGTAGGAGTGAAGTGTACTGAGAAGGGTTCCAACCGGAGGCGGGGTGATGAGAGAGGGGTGGTGGGAAGCAACTCTGATGCACTTTATAAATGCACAAAGCTGTACAACAGTAACAAAAACTTTTAAAAAGTGCACACCTTAAAGCATGCTGACACCATAAGAAAGAACTCACTTTGATAGGGACTTATTTTGGGAGTATTTAATATAAGTTTTACAAATATCTCCTTTAGTTACAAATGCATTAATGTAATTTGCTTGGGATATGTTATAAAACATTACATAAATATTACATTCTAAAAATTAATTTTTATTATGTTATTACATATTATAATAAAATATATTCATTATATGTATTATAATGAAAATAGCCAGTTTCTACAAAATTTTGAATATATCCTTTTTACTTCTTTTGCTAGAATTTTACTACAGATCAGAATCATCAAAACAATCAGTTAGATATTTTACTCACCTCATAAGAACTTGGAAGTTTTAGTTTTAAACTTAGAAATTTTTTAATAGTTCCTACAGTAACTCGTGTAGAACATCGAATGAATTTCTTCATGAGACCCTAAAGAAAAAAAATGACAAATTAAACACTCTAATTTGTTTTTACTAAAACCTTAGGCATTCAGAGGATGAGATAGGATATGAGTTTGACTTCCACCTGGGTTGCAAGGTGAAACAGTCTCATAAGACCACCCGAAACCAAACTGTACCAAACTAAAACCAAAGGCACGATTTTCACTATATGCTTTGAGTATTTTCAAAATGTAAAAAAAGAAAACAAAACAAAACAAAAAAACCCAAAACTTTCAATTCTTTTAAGTAAGAATGTTCTTAATCACTGTCTATTTACATGACATTCCTCAAGAATGCATTAGTGTGTAAATTAGCAAAATCCTGTCAAGTAGACAATCTGTTTTTCTCTAAGATATTTTTAAACAAAGAAAACAGTTTAAGGAAAAGGCCACAAAACTGTCAATATTTTATTACATGATGTTACTTCTGGAAGCAGTAGGGACATCACGCAGAACCTGTAGATAACTGCAGAGAGCGGTATTTTACAGAAGACCTGGGAGGAGCTCCAGATAGAGCAGAAAGGCACTGCTCTGTGCACAGCACGCCTCAGCGCCTGCCGGCTGTGCAGTGTGGGCTCTGGGCTGAGGAAAAGCATTCCCCAGGGATGGGCTACTGCACTTACTGTACAGCACTAAGGTCTGTGTGCTTTGCTGTGTCTCTTGTTTTACATGAAGACAGTGGTTCTCATTCACAGAGCCCTGCCCTCCAACTGCTCCTCACATCACTGTTCAATTTCCTACAAGTCATTAGTAATTCAGAGATGTCATAATAGTTAAGAGAATATTTTTAAGACAAGGCAAAAGAATGTTCCTAGAATTCATAATTCAATAAAGTCTGACACAAATCTAATAAAATTTCAATCTGGATTATGTGAAAGTTGACTTGGAAATACTCAGAAAATAAATAATAAGCACCTTCTCTAGGAATACTTTCTAAGAAAAGCAAATTAAACTTCCTGGTTGCGTGTTCCTGAGAACTCCTGTACAGATGTCTAGAAAGCGCCGACACCACAAGAGGGCAACGACTAACAGGTGCCGGGCAGAAGACAGGATGGTGGAGAGGAGCTAGGAGCCGGGCTTCTTCTCACCATCCCCTTCCTGACATGGAAAATGGAAGCACTGTGCTACATCCCAGTGCTCACAGGAAACTGCAGGGGTGGGGGATGGGAGGGTGAGGTCCATGTCTAACTCTACCCTGCTCAGCTGTCTAGAAAGGATCAATATATTTGGAACATCTGCATATCTAGACATACTACATGGAAGAAGACTGTTTTGTTTCAAGAATGTCACCTTCCCTTCCCATGGCACAACATTCTTATTCTGTCTCCTGTTGTCCAATTCAGGTCAGGAAATGCAGAATTCAGAAACATTCCCTTCTATGGGATGGTCTTTCTGTAAGCTCTGTTGGAAACAGCTGAAGGACGGGACAGGACAGAGAAACCTCTGTTTACATTCTAAGCTGTTTTCCCTGAGGCCATAGTGTGAGTACCCATGTCTGAAGTGCCCAGACTCAGCTACTTCAGAGGCAGGAGTGGATGGATCGGCAGTTGTCAGAAGCTGATAAAATAAAGGCCCCAGAGCCTGTCTTTCTTCCTTTCCTTCTCAAGAGTTACAAGACTAACTACAAAATCTGCAGGGTCCCTCCTGGGAGCTCAGAGGGGCCTGCAGTTTTAGGACAGCTCGATCATTTGTTTTGTGGAACTTTATAAAAACACAAAGTCAGCTTTTTAAGCTCAAATACTTTATAATGTTTTCCTCTCATTTCTTTAGTATTAGAATTTACATCTCTACCAATTAAAGCAATTAACAAGTGTGACTTTAACTTCTTAAATTGCAATAACACCATAAAGTCATTATTTAAAATGAACAATTTAGTAGTTTTTATAAAGTTGTTTAACCATTACAATATCTAATTCCAAAATTTTTCCTTGTCCTCTAAATAAATCCTTTACACATGAGCAGTTAGCAGTTATTTCCTATTCCTGCTCCTACACCCACCTAGTTCCTACTCATGTCTCAAGTGACACTCCTTTAAAAAAAAAAAAAAAAAAAAAAAAAATATCATTACCACACAGCGAATAATATTCATTTGCTTACTATGCTCCAGTATATTTTTTTGTTTTTTCCCAGTATATTCTTTTATTGCAAGATGCTGATGAACTGAAAATCTGAGTTAAAATGATTTGTTTTTAATTTCCTAATACAAAGTACCATTATTAGTAATATAGTAAATATAAAAATAGTAAAGAAATTCAACCCAAACACCCATTGATTTACAGAGACGAAGAGAAAGAAAATTATAAACAGAAAATATGAACTTGTAAATAAATAAAATGCAGAGAAAAACCCTCAATGACTAATACATGCTTGGACAAAGTGACAAAAATCTACCTAAGAGCTAAAAAGGTGAACATCTGTAATGAGAATGAAAGTTGCTGCCAATTCAAACACCAGGAAACACTGAATAGTATTTAAACACCAAGGACAAAATTGAGACAGCAGTGAGTCTTCAGATTCTTTAAGAAACAGTTTACTGATCAGACAAGGAAACAGGATGAGAAATGAGGACTATGTAGAAAAATAATTAAATTCTTCAAGGATTTTATCAGTTTTTCATATATATAGGCACTTTATAACACAACTTAACTTCAAAGCCTACTATTTCATTAATAAAATATATTAGCCATGAAATTGGAGGCTTATAGTTTCAAATAAAAGTAGAAGACTGAAGAATATAATTTAGGGCTGCAGAGATGGCTCAGCACTAAAAGCACCAGCGCTCTCCAGAGGACCCAGGTTCAATTTTCAGCACCCACAAGGCAGCAGCTCAAAACCCCTGGAACTCCAGGGGACACCCTCTGCTGGCTTCTGCTGGCACCAGGCATGCACATGGAGAACAGACATACATAGAGGTAAAACACCTACACATATAAAATAAAATGAAAATTCTTTAAAAAAGAACATAAAAATAATTAATACAAAGGTTGGAGACACTGCTTGAAACAACCAGCCTGAGTTGGCCGCTGCATTTTAAAAGTCAGCCACTAGATGGTGGCATTGGCCTGGATGGTTGGGGTGGGAGGACAAGGTGCCTGTAAAGCAAGGTCTTGACCACTCCCAGGTATGGGATTTGAGGATGGCATTCAATTGCATTATGTTAACAAAAACTTTGAAAGAACGCACTTTGATGAGCTGGAAAATGAAATCTGTCCACTCACCTTTACTACATTGTCCCCTGACTGCCCATTATTTCGTAAACAATCCAGACAGATAGCAATTTGTGGGTCACTTCTATGGTAGTCCTTATCATCT